TCTGAAGCTGGAGGCGTCAGGNNGGAGCTTCAGAGCGTCAGTGAAGTTCCGAAACTCAAAGGTTGAACTTCGCAGCATCTTCGAACTTGAGGTTGTTCTTCTTCGGCAGCTCCCTTCCACAAATAGGTTTGGCTCGTAGGAGGAGGTCTGCCATGGCAGAAATTTAGCGGAGGCATAGCAAGCTGCTGTATCCCAGGCTGCTTCGAGCTGACGTCTTACGACCTGGGCCTCTGGTGCCTCTGACTGTCTACACTTTGTAGAATTTCTTTGGCTTCAGGATGTCTCCTTTCGTGAAGAGCTTCGGATTAGTGTTGGGCCTGAGTCGGCTGCACGAAACCTCGGCACACTGAAAGCCCCGCAGGCCAGGCAATCCGCTCAACATGCCAGCGCATGTGCGGAACTACATCCACAAGAAGGCACCTGGGGCATTTACCAGGAATGCAATAGTCGAAAACACCATCGTACTCGTTGGGGCCACACCCGCACTTCTTGGGAAGTTCGAGCTTAGACCAGGCCTCTGCGAAAGAACGCGCCGATGGGCGCTGGGTGCAGCCCCCAGGGACATGATTAGCAGCTTAAGCAGTCTTCTTCGTCTCCTCGAACTCTTCAGAAATTCCTGCTTCTGGCGAAGCCGCAATCACTTGACAGCTCGAAGCATCAGAAGCGCGGTCATAGCTGTGCTTAGGGCTTAGGGCCGAGACAACTTCCCGATCAGGGGGAGTACATGTCCTCCACGATCGTGGCCATCCTGAAGGCTTTTCCCTCAGCTCCACGTGTTGAAAACAACAGACATGGCAAGAAGAGCTCACCTGTTACGCCTCGGCTGCGCCCACTGAGGCCTTGCGAGAGGTTCGGGTCCCGATAGTCGTTTACGATGGGCCTGATGCCAAGAATGCGCCCAAGGCTGCCATTCCCAGAGTATTCTGCAGCGTCTGACTCGTGCACCGAGGTTGCCGGACCTTCTGCAGCTCTATGCTCCCCTGGCTCGCTTTCGCGGCTTCGGGTGCGCATGCTCGCAGCAAGCTTCACATGTCAGGACAAATTCATCGCCGATGTGTCGCAGCCTTGGCTTTTGGTGCTCTTTTGTCGGCTTCAACTGCTTTCGACATCCTAGCTTGCGGCCCTTGCGGCTTGGTGTCGTCCGCGGAATTGAGCGGAACAGACTCTGCAGGGCAATAGTGCCGTCATGCTAGCCTCCGTCTCCCCCTTTCTTCTGCCACATAATTTCAAGAACCTTCAGACGTCCCGTCATCTTGTTAGCCTGCAACTGACCCCCCTGCATCGAGAGAGGGCGCAGTTGGAACGGGGCTTTGGCAGACCACCTTTCTGATTGCTGCAGTTCAATGCGAACATGCACGGCAGGCCAACAGATCTTGGAACCTTCTCAGATGCATGGTTGAGGCATGGAAGAGAGCAGACATAGGGATGGCTTCCATGAGCTTTTCTTTGTTGCAGGCATTTCCCTGCCGTGTTTGACATCAAGTGGATGGCGCTCCAGGACTCGGACTACAACAGCAAACGCTCTCGCCCCGAACCAACAGATAGTTCGTATTTCCACGGACAGGGTTAAGCTGCGTCGCGTGTTTGCTGCATACTGGGGCGAGACTTGAGGAGCATTCCCGGGAAGCTGGGACAGCCCCTTAAGCTGCGAAGTTGAATGGTTAGAAACATATCCAAATACCAAAAGCCACAGAGTGATCTTTAATCTGCTTGATTTGCCTTCCGCTTCAATCAAGTTGATATTCGCGAAACATGGTAGTAGTTGCGGGCTCCCGCCGGACNNCCTAGTACTGTAGCAAAAAGGCCCTCCGGGTCAAGGGATGTGGGCTGCGAAGATTACCTTATTCTTGGGGTGTGCTGCCTAGTTTCCAGAGCAGCCAGACTGTCCGGTGAGCTGTGCGGAAGGACCCTCCTGGAGACTTGCCAGTGCCTCCTGGGCTTGCCAGTTGGCTGCGCCCTCTGCAAACGAATCGGCACTCAACTGGGGTTGTTGTGACATTTGGCTTCGCTCACTTACGCAGCAAGCCGCATTGTCTGGAGGCGCAACGGAACAGACTCAAACGGCCAACAAGGAGTGGTGGCTCGGCAGCCTTTGACAAAGTATGGCAAGTTGCAAGATCTTGACGATGTCGCAATTGCTTTGTGGTCTTCCTATACCTCGCGCTTAATTCCGGTGGATCTTTTGAGGCCGCGTTATGGTGGGCCCTGCGGTGCTCTGCGGCGCTGCCGGGCCGAGGCTCATGTCTGCACGGGCTGGAGGTTGAAAGGAGTCGCACAGGGCTTTCGATTTTTCTGGCCTGTAAGCCCAGCCACGCCGGGCCTTCTCAAGCCCTGTCAGAGTCGAGCATCGACACAAACCTTAGTTCCAGTGCCCGTTTCTGGATCTGGCAGAAAGCTGCTCAACGGCCTTGCCAGCGTAATCCCTTCCCCCTATTATTAA